AGAGAGAGAGAGAGAGAGAGAGAGAGAGAGAGAGAGAGAGAGAGAGAGAGAGAGAGAGAGAGAGAGAGTGGGAGAGAGAGAGAGAGGGAGAGAGGGAGAAAGTGAGGAAAAGAAGGGCGTGAGTGAGGAAATATAGGCGAGTAAGAACCTTGGACTAGCTGGCAATATTTGGGCCTTCGCCCTCTCGCCTGGCACAGGCGGGGCAGGAGGTAAGTGTGAGTAATGCCCGCGGCCAGCTGTTCGGCAGATCCGACCGTTCCCTCTCTGCACCTCCCGCAGGCCTTGCCTTTTTCCTTTTCCCTTTTATTTATTTTTCTTTATTTTTCTTAGGAAGCGGGCTTTTGTAGCGTACCAGCGGACAGATAAAAGTATCCGGTTTGTTACTCTCGGCCTTTTTGGGTTCGGTGGATCTGGGTTGGCGGAGTGAGCCCCCCTGAGGATGGACGGTTGGCTACTGTCCGAAACGCGGCGTCGGGGAGAGCCGTGGAAGAGGAAGGATATGGCCGACACTTAAGATGTTGCGTGTCGTTTTCTGAGAAATCGGACTTGGCATGATGAATCCTGGTGATGACTTCGAGCTCCTATGCTGACTGTGCTTGTTTCATGAATTCGAAGGAAAATCCAGGATAGGACACATACTGCTTATCTGTTGCATTGTGCATGTTCTGTTTGCTCGGTAAATTGCTGACGTGCGACAAGCCAGACCTATGGCAACTATCACCTATGTGTTTTTTTTTTTTTTTTTTTTTTGGACCGGACATTTTTGCACCCCTTGGACCGGTCCAGAATGTCTGGTGTCCAGTGATGTCCGGAGCACCGGACAGTCCAGACCGGTCCAGACGCTGCCAGTGGTCCGGAATACAGTCCGGACGTGTCCCGTGGAAAAACTTTAATGGCCAATTTGTGGAATATGTCTTGTTAATTTTAACAAAATGGCCGGTGGCCCTTTTTCCAGTGTTGTGACTACGATAGCGGCCTTCGATTTCGCTCTCTCTGACTACCAGCAGCGCAGATGGTACGCGTTACCCTCGGCAGGTAGGGTCTGGAGAAAATGTGGGGAGGGCCATTTTCCAGGCCCTGCGTCGTTCAAGCTCAAAGCCTGAAAATAAGGGTCTGCAGACCCCATGACGGGTCAGCCTGAAAGCCTGGTACCCGGGGCCCACAGGCCCTGCATCGTTTCAGCCCAAAAAAGGCCTGAGCCTTTTCAGCCTGAAACTGAGGGCTATTTCCGGGCCTACAGGCCCCATGACGGTTCAGCCCAAAAGGCTGACACCTGGGGCCCACAGGCCCTGCATCGTTTCAGCCAAAAAAAGGCCTGAGCCTTTTCAGCCTGAAACTGAGGGCTATTTCCGGGCCTACAGGCCCCATGACGGTTCAGCCCAAAAGGCTGACACCTGGGGCCCACAGGCCCTGCATCGTTTCAGCCAAAAAAAGGCCTGAGCCTTTTCAGCTTGAAACTGAGGGCTATTTCCGGGCCTACAGGCCCCATGACGGATCAGCCCAAAAGCCTGACATCCGGGGCCCACAGGCCCTGCATCGTTTCAGCCTAAAAAAGGCCTGAGCCTTTTCAGCCTGAAACTGAGGGCTATTCTCGGGCCCTCGTCAGACCGACCTACCCTGAAACAAGCACATTCGGGCATTGGCAGGAGTGACCTGCCCCTAAGTTTCCTCAGGGGCTAGCACGTTCAGGCATTGGCAAGAGCAGCCTCCTGGACGGGCCAGCACTATATAAGACTGGCTCGCCCTACAGGTTGACACAGAGACGAGAGGAGACTGCCCAGACACTCGACGTGCACTTCTTCAGGAGGCAGTAGTCTTCAGGATTCGGCTGCAATAGTGGAGTAGCGTTAGCAGTAGTCTTCAGCGTTGGGCGCTAGTAGCAGTAGGCTAGAGTAGTGGAGAGAGGAGGCTGGCGGAGGCAAGGGATGCTTACCTGTGGCGCCATAGCTCCAGCTTCGTCTTCGAAGTACCTGCAGCAGAGCGCCACTCACCGAGTGACTTACCTGAGGCGCCATAGCTCCAACTCGCCATCGAGGTACCCGCAACACAACGCCACCATCGCAGGTTAGTATCTGGCATCCAGAAGAGAGAGAGAGAGTTCTTCTTCTTCCTCCTCTTAGTCCACCATCTCTCTCCTACCCTCTCACTATCTGGCTTCACTGCTTTGGCAGTCTACGAGAGTGAGAGTGGTTCACTTGTAGGGGTACAGGCAGGGGTTGTCACGGGCATTGGCCCAGGATCTGGTTCGACATTTTTGGGTAGACATTGGTTGGACTTCGGCAAGGGACTACTTTGAACTTCGCTATTGCGATCTTAGTCTTCTCCCTTACCTCCATCTTCATCCTTTCTTCCCCCCTCCATTTTTCATCCGTGGTATCTCCCCATGTGCATGTATGCAAGAGGGACCTTCGTCAATGTATGCGGTCCCTTCCCTCCCTCTCACATTTCTGATGTATGATGGGATGTCGTAACAGTCCAGGTCAGGTTAGGACTTATCTCCAAGTCTTCCGCTGTGCTATGCCATTGTTCATGTATCAGGATGTACACTGTCTGTTGATATTACGTTAGCAGTCCATTATCCATTCAGTCCTTTTATCACAATGCGGATCCTTGGCTGAACTCTCAGTGCCCCACTGGGAATGTAACAGTTGGTACCGGAGCACCGCACGTGGATCAGGACTACCTGATCAGACACGTGTACGGGGAGTTAGCTGGTGAAGAAGACTCGACGGACTTATTGGTTGGTTGAGCACACTAGTTAATCCCCAAAATTACAATTTTGACCCAACTGCCAAAAATCGAAATTTCTCATTTTTCTGGATTTCGTTTTTCCGTTATTTCTGATTGTGGAAAAATCGCAGTAGCACAACTCCTGAAATTTCTGTTGTCTTGACGAAATTCCGTTGTTGGAAATCCAGAATATGGTCAGAATATCTCTTTTTGAAAATCTCGATTTTGCAGTTTTTCGTACTTAAAAAATTCGGAATATGTTTCGAAGTTCGTTTTTTTTTTCAAAACGGTACGGGAAATCTCTCTGGCAGTACTACTTTCCAAGTTGCGCATACTCTCATTAAAGCAAATCTGATTTTTTTTTTGTAATCATTTGCAGTCTGGAAGTCGAAATTTTTTCAGTTGTATTTCGTACTTCAGGGATTGAGGGAGCTTGCTGAACTTGCAAACAAATATTTTTTTCTCTTTTCTTTGTCCCCTCAAAATTTTGTTTTGCAAAGTTCAAACTTTTCTGTTTTGATTAGCGGCTCCTTATCTGGGCGATCTACCCCACCCACCCTCCCTATCTACGTTGTTTGCCACCTCTGATCTCATCGTCTTTATCCATTCTGGGTATTCCCTGTGGTGACATTGGTAAGTTGCCACATCAGCGGGCCACGTCAGCAGGACACGTCAGCAGACCACGTCAGCAGGACACGTCAGCACACCAAGTCAGCAGGCCACGTCAACAGGGAGTGCCACGTCAACCACCCGAGCGGCGGGCCTGTTTATGCTGAGGCGCTTGCAGACAACCGTCATGGACCAGAAACCGGGGGAAACGGCGGAGGCATATCAGGACCGCATGCCGACTTTGATCATAGAAGCCAAGCAGCGGGCAGATGCAGTAGCAGCCGCAGAGAAGAAGAAGGCGGAGGATGCCGAGCAGGCACGATTGCTAGCTCTTGAACAGCAGTGCCTGCAGGCCGAGGCAGCAGCGAAGGTTGCAGATGAAGAACGATTGAAGCGGCGTGAGAAGATTTTCAGCGGGGAGCAAGCATTACTCACATTGGCAGCGAAATGGCGAACGAAGGCGGAGACAGGGAAGATGGAGGAGAGCGAGAACAAGATTGCCCTCCTCCTCTCCATCTCACGGACCTCCTAGCAACGTGCATCGCACAATAGGAGGACATTCACAACCTTGACGCCGAGGTCAAATGCGTCCGCAGCCGCCTACAGCAGCTGGAGCAACGACCTATGGCCGCCCCCGTTGCAAGTGCCTCCAATACCTCTGACCGCCTCGACGCATCGGAGACTGACCTCAGCGCACTCAAGGACGACGCACGACTACAACAAACTGCTACTCAACAACTGGAGCAGCGGGTCTGTGCTGCCGCCGCCAGCCCGAGTTCGGGACAGCGCGAGTCAACTCCCAAATTTGACGATCAGGAGATCTTCTGCGATTCAACAAAGACGGATCCAGTTCAGTGGTTCCGCAAGTTTGAACTCACTTTGCAGCTACACCTCGTCAGCGAATGCAAGCACCACGCATACTTATACTCCCGGTCGGGAGGCGAATGCCAGGCATGGCTGGACAATCTCTTGTCCCAGTACGGGGTGGTCGCTGCCGAGTTACACACGAAGATCAGTTGGGAAGACCTCAAGGCGGCGTGGCACAAGCGGTTCCAAGTGGAGCCGYCAGAGATCAAGGCCATGGACAAGCTCATGACCTTCRAGCAAGGCTCGCTGCCAAGCGTCGACTGGATTGCCGAGTACCAACGCTTGACATCCGTCCCAGGTCTCCCGATGGGCTTCAAAGCCATCAAGCACTACTTCATTTCGAGGTTGTGCCTGACGTTGAGCAACGCCTTGACGCATGTCGAGGACACACTGACAACGACGACGCAACTGTTCGATGAGGCCGCGCAGATTATCATCACGAACAAGGAGGCGAAGAACCTCACTCGTGTTGCGGCAGGCCCGAGCAAGGACCAACATCGGCCCAAGGTGGCCGTGGTAGCGGCGGCATCGCCAAGCAGCCAATCTAGCGAGGCAGAGTCTGCCAATGAAGGAGACAGACTCGCAGCTGCCCGGGATGGTGGTCGCCCCGGCCGAGGCTGAGGACGCGGCAAATCGAAGACAAACACCACATCAAACCCAGGGCCTGGCGCAGCAGCTCAGGGGCCGTGGACCCCCTACGGTCTTTCGGAGCAAGCTTACAAGCAACGCACGAAGTACCGTTTCTGGCTGTGGTGCAACAGCGACTGCCACGAGACAATGGGCTGCCCTACCAAGGGGAAGGGCAAGCAGGGAAACTGAGCGCTGCCGAGAGTGAGTTGACGACACTCTCTACACCTTCTGAATCGGTTTCTTCGCAAGTGACCGGCCTTCATTCCGGGGCGCATGCGGAAGTCGGCAGTCCTCTTCTTTATTCTTTTGAGGACTATGCTGCCCGGCTCGTTCCGACGCTGGGTTCTTCTGCTCAAGGACAAGACGTGTGTGCGGCATCTTCTCCGTCCGACAGCGGTTCTTCTTCGTCTTCAAGTGGTTCTCCACGGGATTCGGCGCGCGAGTTCAACATAGAGGAATTGGACCCGCTCACGTCTGAAGATTTTGCATGGCTTCCTCTCCCGACCACGGGCCGCTTGCTGGGACCGCAATGCGCAGCACTCTGCGCCCATCTTAACAAGTACTTGTCCTTCTATGCACCACCAACTTCGCCGACGGATGATGAGGTCGCGGTGGGGGACATCTTGGCATATGTTACCAAGGTGGCCCGCGAGTTTCGCACGCAGCGGTACGACGACAATAACGCGCCGCTGATGTATGTCTGCATCCAAGTTGGGCAAGCGTCCTGCAGTGCTTTGCTGGATAGCGGCACGACTCGCAACTTCATGAGCCAAACCTTTATGCAAAGGGCTGGCCTTTTTGGCGCGCAGGTTTGAAGGAAGGCAAACACGGCGGCGATCAAGTTGGCGGATGGAAAGACGCAGCAACTTCTCGACCGTTACATCGAAGTCGTACCGGTGTACTTCGCACCTCATGCATGCAAACTGGTCACATTCGACATCTTGAACACAAACTTCGACATCATTCTGGGAATGCCTTGGCTCGCAAGTGCAGATCACACGGTCAACTTCCACCAGTGGACTCTCACCGTTCACGATGCCTTCGGCGCCGAGGTGCCGTGTACGATTCCTCTTTCGCACCCTTCGATCCGGTGCCAAGTCGTAACGGTCAAATCGTTCCGGGCTACATGTGCATATGAGCAACCCGACGAGATAGGCCTATGTTTCTTGCGGACCGTCGCAGTAGCCGACTCTTCACCATCGGACTTGTCTTCGGACCCCCGTGTGATACGGCTGCTTGACGAGTTCGCCGACATCTTCGAGCCACCTACCGGTGTGGTGCCGGATCGGCCGATCTCTCACGAGATCATTCTTGAGGCCGATGCCGTGACGCCGAAAGGTTGCTATCGGTGTCAAGTCCCAGTCAAGTCGCAGCTAAATTCCAGGAAGGGCCTAGGGAGTCGGGACAATCCAAATCTTTGTTGGCTGCGGCAATGCCCGATGAAATTGACAGGAGTCAGTTAGTGAGGAGGTACCAGCATGCAGAAAAGGGAGGCTGCAGCCTGGAACCTTTCTCTACTTTATGCGGAAGCACTGCTGCGTTATTATGTGCCAAGATCATAGACCCGGCGTGAACTGTGCCTGGCAAGGAAGTCGTGGGCAGTGCTCGGTGCCATGGCCGTAGGATAACGCGATGGAGAGAGGGGAGAGCAAGCCAGCATATTGTCAGAGAGATGGTGAGATCTCTGTGTAGTAGTAGTAGGGGGGAGTGGCCGGAGGGGGGAGAGAGAGAGAGAGAGAGAGAGAGAGAGAGAGAGAGAGAGAGAGAGAGAGAGAGAGAGAAAGAGAGAGAGACTTACCTGCTTGTTGTTGTTGATGGCTGCTATGGCCACAAAGCTTGAGAAACCTGTGGACATCATTTCAAGTTGGAAACAAGTTTTGAGTGTGGTCAAGATGAGTTAATCTTGCTGGCTTGGTGTGGATCCTTCTTTTTTTTAAGGGGTAACTATGGAGCAGTCACGAAAGCAGTTTGTAATTGCGTTTGAAACTGCGATTTAGCAGTTTAGTCAGAGCCCAAGTTTCAATTGCAGTTGAAACTCGGACTGCGCAGTTCAGTCAGGGCTCTCGTCTAGCCACAAACAGCAGATAAAAAATAAAAATAAAAAACAACATCCCTTATGCTGTGATTGCGGTCCTATACAGGATGCTAAAGTGTTTGTCTGGAAGCGAGGCAGTTAGCTGCCTCGCGTGGAATCCACCCTGCCTGGCTGGCAGGGCGCTACAAGGACCTCGCACAAGAAACAAAAAAGGAAAACGACATGTTTCATGTTCCTCACCTCCTGGCCAGAATTCCTCAAAGCACCGGTGAGGTGAGGGCCTTCCCGATGTAGGTGGATTGGAAGTTCCTCGTTTCTTTACATTTTTTTTTTTTTTGGACATAGCATAGTTTCGTTGCAAGGGCAAAAGGAGGCCGGGAATCCCTCCACATCTCAACCCGGAAAGGAGAAACCAGCCTCAGAGAGGCCAACTGGAAACCGGGTCCAGTGTCCCATACACCTGTCAACAGCCTGCTATTTCTGAAAAAAAAACTGGAGAAAATCATATAACTAAATACTGTCGAAAGACACAAAGACACAAAGAAAGCTGGGTCCAGCGACTCTCGTCTTTCATCTAACAGTTCTTCCAAAAAGGGACTGAAACTGAAATCTCCATAAAAGGCAGCTGCTACGAAAATCCTCTGAGAACAAAAATGCTACCAAATTTAGAGAGGTGGGCTTCTGTTATGGATAGCCCGCAGCAACTACTGAGTAAACTAGCAACGGACTAATACCTGATAACAGTGAAGAAGGAGACAATCAGTAGGCTTGTGCTGGAAACCGAGAGCAGCGTCTCTTAATTTTCACCCTAGGGGCAATTAGTCTACTGTTCCTGTCCCAAATTAATAACAGAGGCAAAAGGCCTGTGCTGGAAACCGGGTCCAGCGTCCCTGAGTTGCCAACTGATAATCAGCAAAAGAGCAAACGGGGAGCCTAAAACGGCATTAGAAGACCCGGAGGCAGGAAGTCTGATCTTTCTAGGTGAGTACCCCTACTAGGCTTTGAGTCCCCTTGAGTCCCGGACCTGCGACCAATGGACTAAAACGTCTGACAGAGGTCCTATGTACGGGGTTGGGTTAACCATTTGGAGAAGTTGATCCTACCTTCCGGGGAGATCGTCGCAACTTTGTTGTCCTTTGCCCAGGTTTTCCTAAGTCTGAGCTGGTTAGTGAAAGATTGTTTCCCTGATCTCCACCAGTCCGCGATTATCAGGAGTCGGATGTTGGCCCTGATACGGGAGGTGATCTGGGGGAGGGGTACTTCTTCTTTCTTGAAAATTTCGTGAATTGCGCGCAGACCAGATCCCTTTCATGACCACCCCCCTGCATGTCAGTGTGACGTAGCCTAGTCCTTGAAGAGAGTGGCCAATGGGGGGAACTCCCGAGAGTATCCAAGAGTCTGACCAGTCGAATTGGTCGTTAAACAGGGTCTTCCATTGCTCTTTCCACCATTCCCAGACCTGGGCGGAAACCGGGCAATCTAACCAAAGGTGGGAAGAGGTTTCCCAACCCCAGTTGCACCTCGAGCAGGTAGTATCGAGGTTCATGCCCTTCGAGTTGAGCCACGTAGCTGATGGGGTGACCTGCAATGATTAAAGCCACATAATCGCACTATGTTTTTGTGAGGGTATTTTTTTGAGAGTTTTCCCCAGATTCAGTAGGCCTGGTTCCAGAATTGTGTTGGGGTGAGATTCCGTCCATCTGCTCAGAGTTGTGGCGGCCGACTTTTTCTTGGCCTTTTGGCGTTGTATCTGTACTCCAGTCTTCGTCCTGTAGTTATACAGGGGGGTGAAGTCCGGCAGCGGATACTGAGTGTTCCAGCCTAGCAGGAGTGGCTCGGGTTTACCTGGTGCCGATCTGTACGGTATCAGGGAGGGGTCTCCTGAGCTGGGTATCAGAACCCTGGCTTCTTGGGCGTATAAGTAGGTCGGGATAACCCGGTCTTCCACCCGAAGTAGGCGGCCGGCTTTTTCCTTCTTATCTACCAGGGCCCATTTCTCTGCTCCCAGTCTGGCCACTAGGTCCGGGCCGAGGATTTTCCAGAAGGATCCTTCCTCGACTGGATTCTCCGGCCATGTGCCTTGTGTATGCTCTGTGTCAGCCTTGAGAGTGTGTTCCCAATGCGAAGGGAGGGCTGCTCTTATGCGGAGACAGTTCGACTGGGTGTTTCTTAGGTGCGATAGCTTGCGACGACTGTTGTCCAGGGAGAGCCAGGAATCCGATTCTTCGTCCCAAAGGTCTTTGATTAGGAACAGCCCTCTCTCGACCCAGGCTCTTCCAAATGAACCTAGGCTACCGCCTGCGGTGAAGGGGGCGCTGTTATCGTCCCTGATCATGTCGTTGTCGAAAATCAGCTGGTTCAGAATTTCCAGTTTCGTGGTTGGTTCTTTGGAGATGGAGGGAAACAGTTTCTTCCAGGCGAACAGAATGTTACTCCACACTCTGGATCCTACTCGCCGATTGCAATACGATCTAACGAGAAGACACCACCACACGTGGGGACCCTCCTTCAGGGACCGTTCTTTACAGAGAATGTATTCTGCGAAGCTTTTCCACCATGGGTCTCCCGAGGAGAAAAGTGCCAGGATGGGCCATCTGGCGAGGAGGGCCAGATTTTGCTGCCTTGGGTCTAGGATGGCCAAGCCTCCTTGGTCCCTTGGGAAGGTGATCGTTTCCCATGCAACCTTCGGCATGAAGCCCTGGTGATCCGAAGCTGTAGGTTTCCAAATGTATCGGGAAGCTGCTGGCTTAATATTTTTGTATGTTGAGTCTCCTAGCAGACGAACTACAAGTGGGGACCACAAGAGTGAGAAGGCGGCTGTGGAGAGCACCAACGCCCTGCCGAACAGAGAGAGTTGGTGGTTCCTCACCCAACCAGAGATTCTGGCTGCAACTTTCTCTCCCAAGATTGAGTCTTGGGCTTCTGATGCGTCCTTTAATGATACTTGGATTCCTAAGAAACGGTCGGAGTTGTCGGTGGGGACTTGCT